GGGGCCTCTCCACATGGAGTCTCCAGGGAAAAGGGCTCTTCCCTGGGTTTGTGCAGGCTGAACAGGTCAGGGGAGCACTCTGGCACCCAGACAGCCTGTTGGGGAAGACCTCGTAAAGCTGGAATCGGAGCAGTTACTTCTGGTGCCTCAGACAGTCCAAGCGCAGGCGGTCCTCGCTGACTACAGGAGGGTCCTCTAAGTTCCTGGCTGGTGTCACGTTGAGTTTAAACCTCCCCAGGACCAGCTCCCAGAAGGTAGACGAGATGTAAAGGAGCCACATCCCTGAGGTCCCATCATGGTGAGCGCTGGCATGAGACTGGGGTCCTGCATCTGCACTCAGACCCTGGCCTCCCCAGGTCCTGGGGTTGTTAGGCGTTCATCAACAAACATCTCGGCTAAAGAATTCTTTTTCTATCTTCTAAGCTTGGTGGGGACAATCAGAATGGAACTCTCTACAATCTCTGTGGTTTTGTATCTTTGTTTCGATAGCCATTAAAAGCTAGGACCAAATAGAAGTATGTATGTATGTATGTGTGTATGTGTCTGTATTCATGTCTGTGTATGCATATATGTGTGTATAGGTACGTGTTTATGTGTGTATTTGTTTGGATTCTTGTTACCTGATGTGACTTTGAAGCCAGTCTGAGTTTTGCCGGGACTTCACACGAGTATAGCTGTTTCTGTACACGTAGAGCTCTAAGTGAAGGGAAAAGTGGATCTCAAAGAACCCAAGTGCTCCCGGTGATCATGTGTGCATAGTGTTCACATGCATGTCTCTGTGTGTATATGTGTATCCACGTGTGTCTGTGCATGTGTTCCTGTATGTCTGTGTGCATGTGTGTCCTTGTGTGTGTCTGCGAATGCATACATGTGCTGAAGACAGGGAGGGTAAGATACAGCAGTGAAAGGCTTTCATTCTGGGGACCTGGGTTCAGATTCCAGCCCCAGCTCCTCTTAGATGCAGTGCCCATCTGTCTGATGGCAGAGCAGAGCCCTCCCCACAGCAGGACCTGGTCCTCTGTTCTTGGTGCTCTCTGGAGGGAGGGGACCATACCCCAGTAAATGATGTGCAGTTTCCTAGGGGCTGAAAGAACGGGTATCTAAAGCATGATCCACAAGTCCCTTTAAGGGGGCTCCCTGCTAACATGCCTCATGGGCACCTGTCTCACAAGTGGCCACACAGTGACTGCCTCAGGGCCGCATCCCACATTGGTTAAGGCCGTGGGGACCAAGGATGGGCCTCATCCTGGTGCTCTGCCTCCCCTTCCCCACAGACACTCCGGGCATACTTGTCCACTGAAGCTTCACAGCCCACGGGGTGAAGGGAGACAGAGGTGCTCAGAACCAAGGACACAGTTCTTGCCTTGCTTGGGAAGGTAGGAGGAGCACTGAGGATCTGATCTTGGATGTGTACTGCTCATTTACAAATGGCACGAATATCATCGTCCCTCAGCTAACACTCCCTGGGACCCTGTTCTAGTCAGAAGATAAATAAAAGAAGGCCCAGGCCTGTCCTGGGGCATCCAGGGTCTAGCTGGTATCCCACACCCAGCACAGGGGGCCTAGCTGTGAGGACCAAGGTGCTCACAGCTAGGCCTCTGTTCCTCTCACTCCCTAGCCATAGTGAAGGTAGAGTGGTCTTTACCTCAGCCAGCCTCATCCTTCTCTCAGGTGGCTAAGGTGAAAGGCCCAGAACTCCTTTTAAAGACTCTGTTTCCTGGGGCCCGGCTGCTCAGGCCCTACCTGAAGCCTGAGGCACAGCCATTGGGCAGGAGTTTGCTAGCCAAGGATTTGCATTGTCTCTGGCCAAGGTGATGTCTGAGAGACCTCAGGAGAGAGAGAAAGGCGTGGGGACTTTGACCAATTATTTCACAATGACATCAAGTTTTAATTAAAGAAAGGAATATGTAGGTTATTTTCCCGTTTAGGGTGACAGCGTGCTGACAGCCACCATGCAGTCCTGGCTCTGAGATGCTCTCTGCCCTCTCCGGCAGCCCTGAATATATAGCTTTCAGCCTCGAGGTGACTGTCCCCTCTTCTCTGGAGGCCTGGCAGCAGATGGCAGGACCGATACCATCATTTAACAAGGAACCAGTTGAGCAGGGTAATTACAGCATGGAGCAGTGCCCCAGTTTTGTTAAAGTATCCCTAAGGATAGTAGATGAGGACACCACCCAGAGCCACACTCCCTGGTCCCCACCCAGCACAGGGGAAGAGAGAGACCTTTGGGGAAGTCCATCGGCTTCTCGGCCACACTTGAGAGTGCATGCCTTCTCAATGCACGGCCCCGAACTGGCACAGGTGGGCCCAGCCTCCTGTTTTCAGTCTTCACCTGCTGCTTCTAAAGCTGCTCTTTCTCCCAGAACATGCAGTGTGTTCCAGCATGTAAGGACCTGGGTTCAAATCTCAGCTGCAGCACTATGGTGATAAAGGTTTTCAGGGGTGACAGGCGAAAACTTGCCTCTTGTCCGGAAGTTACCGCCTGTGGTCACATGTGAAGGTGTTCTTCAGAAATGTGGCTCCAGGCTGCCTTCTGAACACCTGGCTTGATCCAGACCTGGTGCCCAGGAGGGTCCAGGGTTCTGCAAACCCCCAGATGTTACAAGCAGGCCCCTAAGGATATCTGTGACTCTTCCTGGAAAGCAGCAGTCTCGATCCGCCTCTCAGGGTGGTCTGTGACCCGCCTCTCAGGGTGGTCTGTGACCCGCCTCTCAGGGTGGTCTGTGACCCGCCTCTCAGGGTGGTCTGTGACCCAGCAGCTGCTGTGCCGCTCACTTTTTGTCAGGGTGACACCGGACAGGGTCATCTGGAAGAAGGAGTCCCACCTGAGAAAATACTCCATCAGTTCAGCCTGTGGGCATTCCGGGGTGCATTCCTTGATTAACGGTTGGTGTGGGAGGACCCATCTCTCTGTGGGCAGTGCCACTCCTGGGAAGTAGTCCTGGATTGTTTAAGAAAGCAGACTAGGCAGGCCAGTAAGCAGCACTCCTCCGTGGCTTCTGCTTGAATCCCCACATCCAGGTTCCTGTTTTGGCTTCTCTCAATGGACTGTGACCAGGGATAAGTAACCCAAAAAACCCATCCTTTCCAGGTTGCTTTTGGTCACAGCTTTTATTAAAGCAACAGAAACTTAACTATGGCAGCTGTCAATCCTTTGGTCTCTGTGATCAGTGTGCCCCTTCTGGGCACTTCGCTCACATTTCACTACAGTTACTTTTCTGTCCAGATCTGGCCCCTGCAGAATCCATACGTGATGTGACCCTGCCTTTCATGCTAGCTCCAGAAGCCCAGGTCTACGGGTTGTCTGGTGCTTACAGTACTAAGGGCACCGTTGGATGAATTCACTGATTTATAAGGGGGAAGCCCAGAAACATCATTTATCTCTTTAATGCAGAAATATTAATATCTATTCATTTTGGAGGTTTTGTTATTTTTGGTTTTTTGTTTGTTTTATTTTGTTTTGGGTTTTTGACACAGGATCTTGCTATTATGCAGCCCAGAATGGCCTCAAACTCTCTGAAATCTGCTGCTTCTAAAGCTGCTTTAGACTTCCAAATACTGGGACCTGGCTAGGCATAGTAGTACATGCCTTTAATCCCAGCACTTGGAAATCAGAGGTAGGCACATCTCTGAGAGTTTGAGGCCAGCTTATTGATTTCCAGGACAGCCAGAGATACATAATAGAGAAACCTCTATCTCAAAAAAAAAAAAAAAAGTGCTGGGACCACAGGTGTGTACCACCATGCCTAGTTCATCAGAGCCTGTTTGATGTGTCTATTGATGGTTTTGTATAAAGACAAGGCTTCTCAAATGCCATGCACTCTGTCTTGGGCAGCTGCCTCTTTGGGAAACAAAATACATATAAGTCAATGTCCTGTGACCAGGCACCAGGCCTGTGAATTTTGTCATCCATTCTCACAGCGGCCAGCATCCTTGCTGGAAGTACCCTACTGGCTCTGGGGGTGGCTGGCCCTTGGGGAGCAAAGTGGCACGTGGAGCTGCAGGAGCCACGAGGGAAGTAGAGTCCAGCCTAGAAGGGTAAGGGCCCAGGGAGACTGTGGCACCCCGCCTCTTGTCAGTTTACCATCTGGGCAGGTCATGTCTGTGTCTCCCGCACACAGGCCAGGAGTGAGTGCTCATGGAGCACCGTGTGGGTAGCTTGAGCTGGCTGCCAAAGGGAACCACATTCCCCACTTCCCGGGATGAGCTCAGTATGTCTTCTGGATTGGGGAATCATGAGACCCACCATAGAGCTGACAGGATGCTTAAGAGTCCCTGATGTACCGGTTCCTGGGGTGGGGGTCCAGGCTGGCCTGTACAAGGACAGATAGGTGGGCCAGTCTCCAACAGAAGTCTTTTACCCTCTACGGCCTCCTAAGAACATTAACGATGACCCGAAAGCCTATCTGTACACCAAGGTGTGTCCTACCATGTAGAAGCCTCAGTGGGTCGTGTGAAGTTATTTCATGGGCTGCCAGGCCTAGCTGTGACAGAGTGAGAACCACCCTGCTGGGGAATTGCAGTGACACCCAAGCCACCAGCCTCTGAGACATCCAAGGGCAAAGGCCAGCTTTGTGGCCCAGATGAAGCAGGACCAACTCCATGTCTCTGTTTGCAAAGCGAGGTCCAAACAACCCATAGTCGAGGTCACAAATGTGCCCTCTAGAAGGAACTTGGTGTTGGACCCTCTGGCCACACACAGACCCGAATCAGTCGCCTCACAGCCTGTCCATCCAGGCAGCAGCCCTTGTCAGTGCTGTCCTCTGCCTCAGGCAGCTCTGCACCTCTCTGCAGGCCTGTGTGAGCCCAGTGTGGGCCTGAGGAACGACTGCCATGTCACCCCCACAGCAGGCCAGCAGTGGCCTCCCTCAGACAGTTCTCTGTGCCTTTCAGAAAGCATTTGTACTGGGTGGAAGCAGACAACAGGCTGGCACTGGTGATCAAGCCTGGCTGGTGGCATCCTGCCTGGGCCAAGGTCTGACTCAGTCTTTCTTTTTCAGGAACCTGGGCAAATCCGGCCTTCGGGTCTCCTGCCTGGGGCTTGGTAAGTACGGAACCCCTCATGAACAAGGATATGGGGGCAAGCCGGCCCCACCCTTAATAGAGAGCTACACTGAGAACCTATGATTCTGGGAGCTTAGGTTGCCATGGCAACCGGAGGCTGGGAAGAAAGAAGGGACAGAACCTTATCCTGGAAAGGCCAGGAGGACCCTGGGAGTCCTTTGCACACAGCCCTTCACCCCTGCCCAGAAGTCAGAGAAGCCCCTGACTCTCACTGGCCCAGGAAGCTTTCTCGCTGGCTTCTAAGCCTCACTTCAGAGAGACAGTCCCCAGGAAAGACCATTCAGTTTCGCCCTGTTCCTTTCGCCAGATGTGAGCTCAGTCCTCAGAACCCACTGTCTTCCATCTTCAAGACAAACACAGTTTTTACCCCTCCTGCCATAACACCCACCCACACCTAACCCTCGCCAACAGACAGAGCCGTCATCGCGAAGCACCCTCCTTCAGTTCTTTGGGACGGCGCGCCCCCCCACTGGCCTCAGTCTCCCACTGTAGCCCACACTGAGCCCACACTCAGGGTAGTCCCGCCTTCGTCTTCCAGGTGCTTAGGTTACAGGTGTGAGCCTCCACAGCCTTCCTCAGCTTACCCAGCTCTCTGTCCCCCAGACAGGCTACTGTCACCATGTTTGGAGACTCCCCCTGGAGGCCAGGGGTTCACACACACAGGATGTGCTCAACCCAGAGCAGGGGTGGCATGTGGCTGTCCCTGACCCCATGCCCTACACTTCAAAGTCTGAGTACCCACAAGACCGTTCTGGCCACTGTCAGATGGTCTAACCTGAGCCTATGTCTCTCCTTCTAGGAACATGGGTGACCTTCGGGGGCCAGATCACCGATGAGGTAAGACAGGGAGCCCTCCGCCCCAAGGCACAGCGTTAAGTCCCCTGCATAAACCGGGGACTGTGTATGCTCATGGAGGCCACTGTGGCAGCCTCTTTCTCTTTGTTTGTTGAAGGTATCCTACCCCAGTGGCCAGGCAAGCCAGGCGGGTAGTGGCCCAGAAAGACGTTGTACCTGGTGGCACTAGTTAGCTGAGAACTCTGTCTCTCAGCTCCTGGGAATCTAGGATTCTCATGCTAACCCTGAGCATTCAAGGCCCGTGTTTTCCAAGTGGCAAAGCTGGATAGGGATCTTAGCTGTGCCCTCTGAGAAAGCCACATGAGTGGCCCATCCGTATGTATCCGCTAACCTGTGTAGGCCATCAGCCCACTGTGTTCCTGACCGTATGGTCCTCTAACGACGGGGAACTGCTGTCTTCTGGGGCTCATCTGCTGCTGGGACACAAGGTGACACTAAGCCGGTCTGAGTGCTGCTGGTGTCACGGAGCCCGTCGGAAGGAAAGGGGTGCACTTCCGGACAGTGTGAGGTCAGAGAGGAGAGCTCTCAGCGTCTCTACCGTATCAGCTATTGTGTTTGCCCAGTGTGCTGCAGAAAGGCTGTGTTTAAAGATTCATAAGTGAGTCCATTTGAGACGCTGTTAGCTGTGACTGCTCAGTTTTTAGGGAAAACTTGGCTCCCACGGAGATTTAAATGCAGTGTGCGGTTTGGGTCTTTATTTTTATAGCAGTAGCTGGTCATTGGACCATTTGTCCTCCTCTCTGAGGCTTCTGGAGACTCAGGGTGAATCAGGAGCTTCTAAGGTGAAGCTGTGGTCCCCAGAGCTCAGAGTAGAAATTGGAGCCATGGGACATGTGTGGTTTGTCTCAAATAAGTCATGTCTGACTCAGCCTCGTCTCCCTTTCAGGGCAGCGCTGATACAGTAGATGGAAGAACTGGGGGGGGGGGGAAAGGGGGGGGGGGGGGGTAAAGGGAGCGGACTGTCCTGACGCTAGCTACAGGGCGTGATGTCCTTGTGGACACTGAGGGTATTGATGAATGAATCTCAGGTGGCAGCTCCAGCTGGCTTTGCTCCCCACCATGTCTCAGTCATGGACAGGATAACAAGGATAAAGAAGTTGGGGGTCATACCTTGATGACATCCACCTGGAGGATCACAGGAATAATAGATGACAGAGTCCAGGGTCTGGAAGGATGTGGCATACAAAAACAACCTAGTGAAGGAACAAGAAGAATTTTTGTATCAGATCCCACAGTTTGTATAATATATATATATATATATATATATATATATATATATATATATATATATATATATGCCAAATGCTAGGGCCCCGGGCTGTGCCAGGTGAAGAGTATTCATCCTCTGGCTGTTTGGTAAGAGCCAGTCAGGAAGCCAAGGGCTGCTTTCCACCCCACTTTGAGGACTTTTGGTTAAATATATGAAACATAAAATTTACCATGTTGGGGCTGGAGAGGTATCGCAGCCAGCGAAGTGTTTACCAGGACTCATAAGGGGGGGTGGGCAGTGTGTCCTTGAAATCCCAGCAGCAGACCTGGAGGATTTGCTTACTGGCCAGCCAGCCTAGTGGAGTCTGCAGGACAAATGAGCGACTCAAACGAGTCAGGGTGGACAGTTGGACAGCAGCCTAAAGAATGACACCCAAGGTTGACCTCTGTCGCTGTGCATAAGCGCATTCGTGCACACACAGACAAAACGACCATTTAAGGGTGTAGCTCGTTGGGTGTCCTCGTGTTGCCGTGAAAATGATAACTTCTATTTCCAAACAGAAACTCCATACCTTTAAGCGGCAACTCTCCCAGTCCCTGCTAGCCTCTAATCTACTTCCTGTCTCTGTGAGTGTGCAGTCTGTTTTTTGTGAGTAAAGTTTTATTGACACATAGATGGCCACACTCACTGGTTGACACATGTATGGCTGCCTCTGACGCAGAGACAAAGCTGAGTACGTGACAGATGTACATGACAGATCATCTAGCCCAGGATGTCTGAGTCACTAAATATCTGTCCCAGTGGGAAAAGGTTTGATGGCCCCTGCGCTGTGACATCACAGCAGCCATCCACCATCATCTGTGGAGCAGCCGGGCAGCGAGGATGGTGGTGATGGCCGCACAGCCCTGTGCATGTGCCAATACTGTTGAACTGGCGATGACTGCCACTGTCCTAGCGCTCAGGAGGCTGCAGCAGAAAGAGCCTGCATTTGAGGAACACTTGGACTGCATAGTGAGACCCTGGCTCAAAAAAAAAGTTATCTTCTTTAGTTACATTTATGTGTGTTGAGTGTTTTGCCTGTATATACACCACATGCGTGCAGTGCCTGAGGAGGCCAGAAGAGGGCATCAGATCCCCTAGAACTAGAGCTACTGATGTCTGTAAACCAGTGTGTGGGTGCTGGGAACCAAACCTGGTCCTCTGCAAGAACCAGCGTTGTTAACCATTGAGCCGTCTCCACCCGCCTCCAAAAAAATGTTTTAGGGTTAGTATGATAGGTTTTTCCGTATAGATTTTAGTAATTTAGTAAAGATTTCTTAGACAGTCTCATGCATTCCCAGCTGTCCTTGAACTTACTATGTAATCAAGGATGACCTTGAATTTACCCTCCTGACTCCACCCCCTGAGTGCGGGGGTTAACAGCTATCACTCCTGTTTTTGTGTGTTGCTGGAAACTGAACCCAGGGCTTTAGGCATGCTGGGCCCGTACTCTACAAGCTGAGCCCATGCCAGCTCCAGTAAGTATGTATCTAATGTAAAGAAAAAGAGAGAAGGAATGAAGCTCTCCATGAACCACTTTAAACTGGTTTCCAGGAGGTACTGTGTGTGCTAGAGACCAAGTTCAGAGCGGCTGCAGCCTTCATTGTGTCAGGCAGACGGAACGGTACGGAAACATACGCCTGTCAAAAGGAAAAGGCCCCTGAAAGACAAAATTGCAAGCCAGGAGCCCCTTCTTCTCAGAAGCCCTCCAGGGAGGCCACATGGCCCCTAGCCAGTGGGATGCAGCATGCAGAGTCCCCCTGGGCATGGCTCAGGCTGGGTGGCGGGGTACATCCGGGAAAGGTCAGGGCGGAAGCAATAGTGAACAAGCCACGCTTGCCCGTGTGTTGGCATCGCAGGCGAACATGCCCAGCACGAGGAGAGTTCCTTCTGCGGCACCTGTAGGAAAAGGCTCAGCAGTTACCTCAGGCCCCCAGAGAGCAGTAGCAATCATGTATTTGACGTGCTCACACTCGAGCTGCCACAGAAGACGCAGCAAACCTCCCTGAGGTTGATCTCCAGAGCCCCACGGCCTCATCATCCTGGAGCTTCTGGTTCTCAGACCCCAGCAGCTGTGACTCAGTGTTTGATACCCAGGCTCTTCAGTATCTGCAGTGTTTGAAAACTGGGTTTTAGCGCTACCTGGATTTCTTGGATCCCCTGACAAATCAGGGAGTCTGGTAGCACCAAGCCCACCTTCCCATGAACACCACTTGGCATGGATCCGCTCCCAGCAGGGCTCTCCCGTCAGTATCACTCCCGGAGTCCCTCGGCATGCACGCATGCACACATGCACACACACTCTCACACACACCCCTCATTCCTGAAACCACTGGATACCAGAGAGCCAGGCAGGGGCTGGAATCACCCAGCCACTCTGAGCTGACTGGTGAGTGCCTGAGCAGCATTCGATAGGTGTGCCCCTCTGAGGACTGCAGTGTCCGGGCGCTACTCTCTGCTGTATTTTGGTGGGGGACATCGGTCACAAGTGCACCCCCAGCTTCCTTGACAGCTGGACCTACCACCCACTGCTCTTTGCCATGGAGCAAAGCTCATTCTTCTGGGAGCTCAAGAAGTAAGATCTGGTCAGCAGTGAGGTCAGTTGGATGGCCAAGTGTCATATTAGAAAACACCAGCCAAGGCCACACGACTCTCAGCCCCACTGTGGAGTGGTTGTGTGACCCTCCGTGGTCAGTATGCAGCCCTCCTGCTGTAGCTGGGAGAGGGTTGTCGAGACACAAATAAATCCACACTTAAATCTTAAAAGAAGGGGAGGGGCATCCTCCTAAGATTGGCCACTGGGCCCTATGACTGACATGGCAAGGTGCTGGCAACCACGTGTCTTCAGTCAGGACCTGGTCCCTCCATAGGTGTGGAGGAGGAGTCTGTCCCCGCCCCTCTCAGCTTCTGGTAGCATTTCTTGGCTTGCAGACTTCTCGCTGCAGTCACTTCTCATGACCATGTAGCCCTCGCCTAAGATGCCAGTCAGGTTGGAACCCATGGCTGGCTCTCCAGGAGGCAATGTGGCCCCATCTTGGTAATTGCATTTGCAAAGACCCTGCTCTCAGATGAGGTCCCATCCTGAGGTTTTGTTCATGTGAATTTTGGAGGGACACTAGTGCCGGTGCCACATTCCATGATGACCCCAAAAATCTCATAGCCAGCAGGCTGTTTCCCTCACGTCGGTCTTGCCGTCTTTGTCCTTTCTGAGGGTTTGCTGTTTCCCGGTAAGAGGGCAGGAAGGACAGAAAAGCCAGGAGAGGCACCTAGGCCATGGGAACTGCTGCTCCAGAGGTTCTCAACCTGTGGGTCGTGACCCCTTTGTGATTGACCAACCTTTTCACAGGGATCACCTAAGGCCATCAGAAAACAGATATGAAGTAGCAATGGAAATAGTCTTATGGTTAGGGGTCACCACAACGTGAGGAGCATTGGGAAGGCTGAGAACAGCTGCTCCGGAGCCTCCCTGGAGCTGGAAGGACAGTGCTAGCCACAACAGCTCTGGTTTTATCATTTCAGATGGCAGAGCACCTAATGACCTTAGCCTATGACAATGGCATTAACCTGTTCGACACCGCAGAGGTCTACGCTGCTGGCAAGTATGTACTCTTCCCATGGGAGAAGGTGGCGTGGGACACCTTCAAAGAGCCGCATCTCCAGTTCCCAGCTCTCCTTCCCAGGCACTCAGAATTGTGTCTACTACCACGCTGTCCTCTTTTTAGAGCTCTAAATGATCTTAGGAGATGTTTGGATGGGGCCAGACTCAGAACACTCAGGCGCTGGCTGCTTGCTAAACTCCCTGTGTGCCCAGGCACCAGGGTTTCCAAGGCACAGTGCTGGGCTAGAGCCAAGACTGACTGATTCCCCGGCTGTGTGGACGTGCTGGTGAGCTTCGGCCAGCACCGAGCCTGACATGTTCGTGTCTTAATGATGCGAAGGCTGTGGGGCAGACAGCCTTTCTGAGCTCGGGGAGCAGGCCAGCACCCTGAGCCTGACATGTTCGTGTCTTAATGATTCGAAGGCTGTGGGGCAGACAGCCTTTCTGAGCTCGTGGGAGCAGGAGCTGGCAACCTCGGTGCGAAGGAAGCGCTTTCCATCTTGACAATGAACTTTCCAACTCAATTATGCAAAGGCTCAGTGCTCTTCAGCCAGAGCTGTTGGCTTTAGTTTTAAAGACGGGCTGAAATCAAATCATCCAGTCTCCTGCATCACATTTCCAAAAGTCAGTTTTTGTTGGTGAAATCATTCTCTGGCTCCCTTTCTGCCTCCCTTCAGCCCACTCCTGTTTACAGCCAGTCAAGTTCCCATCAGCTGGGCTGGCTGTAGCCCTGACCTGCTGTGTGCCATGGCCATGGGGCCAGCACCTGCTTCCTGGGCCTTGGGATGGTACCTGCTGCCTAGAGGGGAACCCTTAGCGCCAGGCATCAGGGAACCCATCTGGACAACTGCCCGATCCCTCCCGAGGGCCTGGGGAGCTGTCCTTCCACCCCCTTTAACCTCCATCAGTAATGCTTGTATCGTTCGTACACACAGTCCGCTCCCCTCCTCCAAACAGGCAGCAGCTTCCAATCACAGCAAGATGCTTTCCAGACAGACACGCTAGGCAGAACAGCCAGAGGCTGAAGAGCCTGGTGCAGATGCCCAGCCCAAAGGCATCTCCCGGTCTCCTCCCTGGCCCAGCTCCTGCCTGGGCTTTGCTGCTCAGAAGAGCAAACACAGATTAATGTCACCTCCTTCATCTCCATTGATGCCAAACTCTGCTCGGTTCCTGCCTGCACGTCTGTTTAACTGGACACTCAGAGCTGGCATTCCAGGGCACCACACTGGACACTGGGCATCCTGGGGGCCTCTCAGGAGCCCCTTGCTAGAAGCCAAGGCCTTAGGCAGAAGCTTCCTGCTCTCAGTGGCCTTGTTTCCAGAGCCCCCTGCCCTCAGCTCTTCAGCCAGCTGCTGTCGCTCCCCAGTCCAGCCTGTAGCTAAGCCAGTCTGCTCACACAGCGGAGATACCTTAACACCAGTGGCCAATGTGACTGAGGAGCTGAGCACTGTGTCTTGAGGGCAGGCCAAGCGTCTCTGACCAAGGGGCTAGCCATAGGTCCAGCAAGCAGTCAGCCAAAGCTCCCCCCCCCACTGACTTGGGGTGAGCGTGCACTTATCTTGCTGACAGTAATTTGTGTGCTTCTCGGAGACCTGCAGCATATCTGTGCCCACACTAGCTTGCAGCCAAGATTGCAAGCAAGAGGCTTGGGTTAGCCACTCAGGCAGCCTCACTATCAGCTTCCTCCTCTCCTGGTCTTTTGTCTGACAAATTGGGGGACCAAGGAATGAAAGGAGGCCAGAGCTGATTGAATTTTCAGTGCGTCCTGACCATAAATGAGGGGCATTCACAATATATGCTAAACAGCTTGCAAATTAGAGCCCATTATTTCTGAGTGGATGACTCAGGCGCTTTTATAATTGGAATGTAGCACTGGGTTTGGATCATTTTCCGTCTGTTGTTTTTGCTTAGAAACATTTTGCTACAAGCAGAAAGTTCTTAAAAGTTAATCCGCACTGCTGTGCCAAGGGAAGCTGGAACAGCCAGCTTGTGACCCCAGCTGGCCCCGGCTTGAAGCAGGACCCTGAGCCATGCCAAGAACAGGCAGTGGGCTGGGTAAAGAGAGAAAGGAGCTGCACGCAAATGCACTCACGCCACACACACACATGTGTGCACACACGCACAAAGCAGACGGGCACACACAGGCCTTGTTGGAAGCCCCACGCTGGCCCCAGAAAGTGCATTGTCTCTGCATACCGAGTCAGTGTGTGCAGAGGACACCTAGAGCACTGCTTGCCTTTTAAAGACAAGCTCACTGTACATTGTACTCATGTGCCTTGGCCGAGCCTTTTCCCCAGTGTATCTGCAGCTGGCCGAGGAATCGAGTTCTGGGGACCTTCCCTTCCCCAATAAGTGCAGAGGTGTTGCTGCAGGGACAAGGCCTTTTCATCAGAGGAATAGCAACCCCCCACCCCCACCCCTGCTGCCAGTCCTGGACAGTTGCAGACCTCACCCCTTCTGGAATGAGCTGCCGAGCCAAGGCCACATAGGCGCCTGGCATTCCAACGCCAATGGCATTTTCACAGAGGGGACCCGATGGCTCATTGTCACGGTGGGGCTGGGTATGATTTTTTTTTTCCGTTATGCATAGATGAAATCCCCATGTCTGCTTCTCTCTCGCTCTTGCTTTGCAGGGCTGAAGTGGTATTAGGAAACATCATTAAGAAGAAGGGATGGAGGTAATTATCCGGTTCTCTGTGGTCTGTCTCCAGGGTACACAGGAAAGCTGGCGGTGGAGGGTGGCAGGCAGTGCAGGAGAGGCAAATGCATCCTGGGGTTCCTGGTTGGGGTGGGCAGGCCGTCTGCCTGGGGCAAGCCCGGACTTGGATGGCACTGCAGTGGGAACCATGAACGTTTGGGAATTGGTCTTTGCTGATTACCACAGGAGTGGTCCATCAGCCGCTTGTGCAGTCTTTTTCTTTGATTTTTTTCATTACATTTATTTATTTACATGTGGTGGGTACATGCCATGCTGAGAGTCTTGGGGTCAAATGACAACCTGTGGAAGTTGGTTCTCTTCCTCTACCATGTGGGTTCAGGGAGTCAAACTCAGGGCTTCTGGCTTGACAGCACACAGCCTTATTCACCGAGCCAGCTCACCAGCCCCTTCTCTCTCTTCTCTCTCTCTTCTCTCTCTCTCTCTCTCTCTCTCTCTCTCTCTCTCTAATAGAAAAATTAATTCAGTACGCTGCAAAGGCCACCAGTAGGCTAGACAACAAGAGTGTTGCTGAGGGCTAGGAATGTTGCTAGAGTGCTTGCCAGGCCTGGGTTCAATTTCCAGCAGTGCATAAATGAGGCAGAGTGGTACGTGCCTGTCAGGAAGCAGAAGGAGCAGGCACCCAAGGGCGTTCTCAGCCCTGTGAAACCCTGTTGTGCACACAAAAAGTACTCACTGTGGCCGCCCTGTGCAATCTTGCTGAAATTCAAGTTGCCCAGTTTTTTCTGCTGAAAGGGGAGACCCTCTCAGAACAGAAGTAGCTTCCACCACCACCCCCCAAGGGAGTGAGTCTTCACACCACAGGGGTTCCAGGCAAGCAGCTAAGGCCAGGGTCCCAGAGTTCACCATGTCCCCAAAGAGGTGCACAATTCAGTTCTTGGAGGCAGAAGTGATGCTGTTTGTGATTAGTCCTAGCCCCCTCCCCTCCACACACACCTTTGTCCCGCTCCACTCAGATTCATGGGATGGGACTTCCTGAACACAGTCTTGAGCCAAAATGAACTGCAAATGAGCATTCCCAGGTGGCCTGGGCATGACGGGCACCACGCAGAGGTCCAAGTGTGAAAGCCTTTTAACTCTCAGCTGAACTCCATCCTCTCTGCCCCATCCAAGGACCCTAGCCGTAGTTCAGCCTTCAGGAGCTCACTGTCTGCATCTGTAAAGGGATCAGCGTGTGAGCAGAGGGAAGGCTGTCTAGGTCTGTAAATCACCAGTCTAGCCTGGCCAGGCCATGCTGAACCTGGGGTGTGTGTCAGGCTTCAGCCAAGCACCCAACTACATCATGTCCCTCAGGCTTAGAAGGTGATGGAGCTCAAAGGCAGCAGAATAGGAGCTTGTCTTAGTCACTGTTCTGTTGCCATGAGGAGACACCATGATCGAGACAACTTATAAGGGAGAGCGTTTAATTGGAGGCTCGCTTACAGTTTCAGAGCTTCAGTACATTAGCGTCGTGGTGGAGAGCATGGTGGCACGGCACGCAGGCAGGCATGGTCCTGAAGAAGTGCCTGAGAGCTCACTCCTTCAGAGCTCACACGTCGGATTCACAGGCTGCAGGCCTCCAGGGAGAGACCCGGCCTGGTGTGGGCTTTCGAAACCTCACAGCCCAGCCCAGTGACACTTCTCCGACAAGGCCACACCTCCTAATCCTTCCTAAAGAGTTCCACTACCTGGGAACTAAGCATTTAAACACCATTCTCATTCCAACACCACAGAACCCACAGTGCCCACCGCAGATCCCCACCTCTGTCAGCCCAAGCCTCAGGCAAAGCTGGGCCTTCGCTCCTCCTTGACCTTCCTGGTGGTCACTTAGAATCTCAGTGACCAGATCTCACACCACAGGGTTCCTGACACCCTCCCCCATCTCCTCTCACACAGCCCATCTGTTTCCCCTTGGCTCTGATCCATCCCAAATACATTCTTCCGATTCAGTAATCCAAGGTAGAGCCCCTGATGGTGTGCATGGAGAGGCTCACACTAGGTCATCATTCCTTTGGCATAAGCTGGCACTGCCTTTCAATGTGGGTAGCTAGATACCAGTGCATCTGGCAGCAGAGCAGGCATTGGGAGTCCAACTTGGGGCTCTCCTGCCTCAGCGGGCCCTCGTGGGCTGAAGAGCACACGTAGGGATGTAGAAGCCACTGTCACTGATCCCTAGAAACCTTGGCTCCTGCACTGCATCTCTGCTCTCAGACCCCGATACCAGCCTGCAATGTGGAGGTGCTTGGCTGCATCTGTTAGTGGGGAGATCCAGAGCTTGAAACACCCATTTCACACCAGGCTCCCAGGTGGGACAGCTGTGGGACCCCTGTGAGGGCTGAGGAGAGACCTCAAGCACCACCCAGGTCCAGTAACTCCTCTCTTCTACTCTGCAGACGGTCCAGCCTCGTCATCACCACCAAGATCTTCTGGGGTGGAAAGTAAGTGTCACAGTTTGTAGTGCTCCCGGTGGTGGCTGGCCACCGCGGGCCCAGTTCCTGCGGAGACACCACTCGCAAGGCTGGGGCAAGGGTCACACTGTTGTCCTTGAGGAAGGAGGGTATGTTGGTCTCTGCACAGCTACCTGCAGGCTGGCACTCATTGCATCCGGGGACCTCACGCCCTCCTGGGGTATTCCCAAACTGCAAGCAGCTCTGGCTGAGTTTGTCTTTTACTCAAACCTTGTCTAACTTTTATTATTTTTACTTATATATGACATTATAAAAATTCTAGAAAACTTACTGGGCGGTGGTGGCACACACCTTTAATCCCAGCACTCGGGAGGCAGAGGCAGCAGATCTCTGTGAGTTCAAGGCCAGCCTGGTCTACAGAGTGAGTTCCAGGACAGGTGCAAAGCTACACAGAGAAACCCTGTCTTGAAAAAAAACAAAACAAAACAAAACAAAAAATTCTAGAAAACAGAAAATTATGAACTGTCTAAACCATCTTAAAGTCCCTGGGCCACCTGTCACTCAGCCAGTTTCCAGGTGTCTGGCTCTGTATTCTCCAGGGCTGGATAAAGTTCATCTCATGGAGGTTATAAACATGATTTATAGGCTGAGGATGAGGCTCAGTCAGTAAAGTTCTTGCCAGGCATGCATGAAGCCCCATGTTCCTCCTCATACCCTGTAAACGATGGTGGTGGCTCATGCCTGTAATTACAGCATTCGGAGGTTCAGGAATCAGAAGCTGAAGGTCATCCATGGCTATGTAACAAATTTGAAGCTAGCCTGGGACACGTGAAACCCTGTCTCAAAAAAAAAAAAATTCTTAGCTAGGTTTACATGAGAAGTTGAGACAGGAGGATCATGAGTTTGAGGCCACCCTGAGCTATGTCTCAAAAAGCATAAATAAATCCAAGCTGGGCAGCAAGGTGATATTAAAACCCTTGTACGCCACTGCCACCCTGGGGTCAGCGTCTAGGTATCCACCCGAGCCATGAAAACTCAGCCTGCAGCTGTCACCCACAGCTGTCACATTCCAGCCGACTTTGTTCCTAGCATTGTATCATAAACCTTATCCCCTACCAACTGCAACATCTCCCACCCTGTTGGCCTGTTTTTCAGAGCGGAGACAGAGAGAGGCCTTTCCCGGAAGCACATAATCGAAGGTGAGGGGGTAGGGCTCTAACCATGGTGTCCCCAGCCCATGATCTCCTGTGAAGGAAAGCTAAGAGGCACAGTTGCCCTATCCCTTCCTTCAGGGATTCAGCCCAGGCCTCAACCCTGGAGCACATGGACCCTGTCTTTAATCATTTCCTTCTGCTCCAAAAAGCCAAGAGGCAGGAGACTCGCTATTGGCTGAAGGCTGTGCTGAGCCTGGACAGAGATGTTCGGGTTCAGGACAGGCTGGGCCTCCCTGAGCTTGTGTTAGAAGGTCTAGAAAGCAGGCTGCGAGAGCTCCCACACTCCACCAGGGCTGTTGGGAATAATGGACATGCAGCCCAGAGTCGGGGTGGCTGGATGTGGGCCCTGCCTCTGAGAGCCCCATTTATTCTCACCTAAGTCATATTTTTCATAAGAAACATCATAACTGGAGGGGGGAGGTTGGCACCTGGCCCCCTCCCACCTCGGGTTCAGTGTCTTCACCCTGGCTGTCGGCTCTGAGCTGTTGGGAGGTGGGTTAGTGACTGGTGTGTGTCAGATACCCCAGCCTTTTGTGCTGTCTCTCATGTGATGTCATGCCTGGCTTGTTTGTTACTACAGTACAAACCACCAGGTCCTGGGAGGGGCCCAAAGGGCGTGTATCCATTGGGTCTCGGGGCATGTGGTTCTCTTGACATCCTCCAGAATAGCCAGGGTGCCCACTCCCTTTAAGATGTACCTGATGTCTTGGCATTTCCTCAAGACCCTCACCTGCCCTAAAGCTCCATGTGACAGGGGCCTGCCCTCTTCTCTTGCCTCTGAGCCAGGCCCAAGGGGGTCTAGAGTCACAGGCAGTGCTGACCCCTCCTGTTCTTCTAGGACTGAAGGCGTCCCTGGAGAGGCTGCAGCTGGAGTATGTGGACGTGGTTTTTGCCAACCGCCCAGACCCCAACACGCCCATGGAAGGTAGGTGAACCGGTTACTCCCTATCCAGTTCATGCAGGACAAAGCCAGGCGACCAGTGGGTTGGCTCTGAGGTTCTGGTGACTGTCAAGCACTCTCACGCTGGGCACTCAGGGCAGAGGTGGCTAGGCCTCTGGGTGGGGGAGGGTAGGCTGGCCCTGCTAGGCTGAGCCCAGGCCCTGATCTCGGTCTGTAACCTGGCTGTGTTCAGGACCTCTCCAGCAGCAGAGTTCTCTCGGCAGTTGGTATTTTGCACAGTGGTGGCTGTCGGGGACTGTTATATTCTTTTCATTCTCGTTCCCCTGGGAGGGCTTAGAGGTGGTTTGCTCTGGGGGGTAACTTATTACCTGAAGGAGGAGAGTAAGCACTCAGTGCTTTGAAGAGCCGTTTGGGTTTCTTTGGCGTTTATTTATTCCCTCGACTCCCGGTCCCTCCATCTCCCCCACCTCCTGCCTCAGCATCTTCTCATTTATGCTTCGCTGCTTCTGGGACTTGGGAGGTTAAGTCGAACCGGTTATTTTGTCTCCATTTGCTTTTATATATATACCACACTGGTGTGTGTGCCTATATATATATATATTCTTTCTTTTCAGCAGAACTCTGTTCTGTGCAATGATTTGTGCTCTTCTGTCCTGCCCTTTATCATACCACGCCTCTGTGTTCCCACAGCGATAAACTCTGGTCTCTTTAAATCTTTCTTTTATCACCAGGGGACCCATTTAGTTCCTTCAAGTCAAGGACATTCATCATTGAAGGTACACAGTACCCTCAGCCGACTATTGACTTCTCTGTCCGAGCTGCATTTTATGAGACAGTGTTTTTATTTACGTGACTCTCTGTCCCCCATGACAAACTTCTCCATAAAATGCATAAGGGGTGGGGAAGTGCCCCATGAGGACATCGTGCAAGCCAAGGGAAAGCAAAATGGTGTCGGAGCCCTCGCTGCCCATCCATGCTGACATTCCGTCCTTCCTTCCCGGTGTGCATGTCCCCCACTCCATGCTTGTGATGCCGAGATCCGCAACGGCCGGCTGGCTTTCTGCCGGGGTCTCCCTTGATCTGAGGATGCTCCAGTCCCTGCCTGGGAACTTGACCTTTGGATAGTATGATGGCAAGGGTTGGGAAAGACTAGGTTTCCACAAGGGTCCTGGGACCCCAGACTGTGCAACCCCTAAGACTTACGTCTTTCATAGTCATGCTTGGTAAGTTCTAGCCTCCAACAGAGGCGAAGAACCAGCCAACAAGCTGCCCATCGACCTCAGCGGTTCCTTGTGAGCTCTGGCTGCATGTGGTTACTCATGTCTGCTCATCTAGCAGCCAGGATCAAAATAGAGTGATTCTCTTCCTTGAAGAATACATGAGCTGGCAGGATGCTGAGGCCCAGGGCATCCTTGTGCCATGCTTGGTATCTGCCCATCCCCATCAGCAAATGGCCTTAGAAACCTACCTCAAGGATAGGCCTTGGAGACTCTCCCTGGGGACTGGGCAGCATTCCACACTGGAAGGGCTCCTGCCTGCCAGCTGGTGCCGCCACCTGACCCCTCCCGTGTATTATTTGTGATGCTGCAGAGATGCCCTGGGTTTTGGCTGCAACTGGAAGGATGTGGCCCCCCTGCTCCTGACAAGCAGCATTAATTATTGAGGTGAAAGACAGTTGTCCCTTAGTGTCACTGTTTCTGGGTCCACTGACATGCTGGTGCGGGTGCACAGAGCTCCTGAACATGTGTCCCACATCTAGCCTGCCTCTGCCCAGATCCCCCAGGTGCCTAGGTTCCCCTGCCCCTTAGAATGGCCAGTCACACCAGGCTCCTGGCCCATCAGCCTTATTCCCAGGTGCTAGACTGTCTCCATCTCCCTCACGGCATGGGCAGAGCATCACGCAGTTTCTCTGGCTGTGATCTTCATGACCATGACCAGACAGTTCTGGGGGAGGCTGGGGAGAGAGGCTGATGTGGGCCATCCTCTCGGCTTCCCTATCTCTGGCATGTGGACCTAAGCCTTGGCTGAAGAGTAGGGGAACCATGCTGCATGGTTGGGTGTTGCCAAGAGTGTTTCTAAAAATCTTAACTAGGGCAGCTTGCCCGGGAGCCTGGGCTCCATTGAGTAGGGCCCCGGGACCCTCTAGGTCTCTCGGAACCTTCCCAATCAGGTTCTGTCCTCTTCCTGATGTAAAACATGTTGTTGGTTAAAACCAGTGACCCAGGGAAGGACCCAGAAGGCCTAAACTCCCTTCTCACATGCCCCCTCACCTAGGCGGGGTGAAGGAAACTCCAAAGAGCCACAGACCCTGACCTCAGAAGAGGGGCACAGGAGGCAGAGTTGCCCTGCAGGGGCAGAAATAAGGTGTGACTTCCCTGGTGCTCTGGGTGAACTTACTGGGTCCGTCACACCAGAATCCCCAGTGGCCTTAGTGCCAGAGATGAGGATGCCCCAGATCCCACCCTGAACAGACCTTAGCCAAAGCAGTACTCAGGGACCCAGAATGAGTATGAAGTAAGACCCCCCCCAAAGCCAGCGCAGACAGGAGCCAGCACTGTGTCCCATGCAAGGAGGGAACTGTGGACCCAGTGGCATTCCGAGGCAGGCTGTCAGCTCTGTCATTCTCTTCGCCTTCTCTCACGGTCCCTGCCAGGGGTCTCTGCTGCTCGGGGGGGGGGGCATTCAGGGGGAGGCAGATGTTACCCTATGTTTTTAGAAACACTTGCTCCTCTACATTCCTACCCTGCCTTTGGCTGTTGACCTTGCAAGCACTGTACCAGACCTGTGAGAAATCCACGGAGCCAGCCCTCACCCTCCAAGACTAAGTCTGTTTGAAGAGCCAGCACACCTCTAAGTGGCGAAACAGCCCAGGGAGAAGGCCTACAGGCGGGGGGTTTAATTGGCTTGTATTACCCATACGTAATTAACGGGCTTTGCTATGACACTTTTCTACATGTATATAATGTATCTCGATCACATTCACTCCCATCACCTCCTTGCTCCCCTCCCACTCCTGATCATTCCTTTCTTCTTCCCATTCAGTCCATGTACACTTTCAATGGTAGATTTTTATGCCCCCAAAACTCTTGGATACAATGAAACGTGTGCTGTTGGGGCGGGGAGAGTCCTGCTCTTGCCCTAGAAGAAGATGGGGTGGGAGGTGTTTCAGCCATTCATGCCTTAGGATGTTGTAAATCTCAGCTCTTATGGAAACTCACAACTCTTTGCTCCAGACCTTGGCCCCTCACAGAAGGGACAGTTAGCCCCCAGCCTCCCACCCCCACTGACCTGAGAATAGCCTGTGTGGAGGGAGACTCCAGCCTGGGCGTGGTCTGCCCAAACCTTTCCACTTCTGCTTCTGGCTCCCCAAGCGCAAGAACAAGAAACACTGACCTCCTCCAGAGCCCCAGCCTCAAGGGCCTGCCTTGTCCCTACAGGTGCCACCTCCCTCTGTGTGAAGTCCTCGGGACGCCAATGAGAATGGCCCGGCAGAGCCGTTGGCAAACACTGCTGATGTCACTGCCTTGGCCTGTCTGTAGCCTTTATCCATCCAGCTGGTCCCCTGACGATCAGGATTCCTACTTCCTCATCCTAGAGTCTGAGGCCCACTCTTGGAGTTCACATCCCCTCGTCCCCTTAGCCAGCCATGGGGACATCGGGCTACCCACAAGCCTTTTTCCAGAGATCCCGGCAAGCCTTACTTGGTCAGAGAACTTGTCTTCAGGATTTCAATCCTGTTTTCTTTTCTCCTGGAATTTCGCCTCCCCAACACCCACACTCAGCTCTGGGAGCCAGGAAGTACACTGCTTGCAAGACGCCTCTGCAGCCTGCTCCCTCCTCCTGGCAACCCACCTGCATCCGCACACTGTCCCCAGGCTGGGCCTGAACCCCAGCTGCCCCAACCCATGGTCTCCCTTCTCTCTCACAGAGACCGTGCGGGCCATGACCCACGTCATCAACCAGGGGATGGCCATGTACTGGGGCACGTCACGCTGGAGTTCCATGGAGATCATGGTAGGGTGACACACCCATGTGTCTACAGGCATGGGTTCCTTGTGGGAGGAGATCCTGAGACTCGGGCACATGTGTTAAAAAGGAGGACAGCATAACAGGGTGTGGCTGCCAGAGGCTGTCTCAGCTTGCCTCACAGCCCCGAACATGGCCTTGACTCTTCTTGGGAACCCCAGAAATACACAGGGACATAGGCTGCTCTAGCCTCTGGTGGCTCCCACGGGAAGAGAAGACAGTTATTGGGGTGCTTTCCTGGAAAGGCAGCCCAGGCTCCAACCTGCATTGTCTGGGTATCCGTCTTGATCTAAGCAGTGTGACCTTAAGCATGGGACTTAACCCCTCTGTCCTTGACTTCCCCATTTGAGACAGAGGTTAGAATCGTCAGTTACCTACTATGGTACTGTGGAGGTAAAATGGGAGTCAGCTCCTGGGAAGCCCTTAAATCATACAGAGCATCCTAGGAGCCCAGAATGAATGGCAGGTAGCACAGGTACTGAGGGCCCTAGGTCCACGCCAGCAGGCTTGTTCTATAGAACCAGAAACTGAGTCTCAGAGGGCAAGCCACAAGCCGGGCCCTATTGGAAGGGCTACAGACACCCTTGGCTCATTAGAACCTTATGACAAATGGGGAAACTAAGGCACCAGGATCCCATTTGCCTCTGGCCCCAGGCCTTACTACATTGTGATTCCTCTAAGAACCATTAAGTCTTAGGATTCCAAAGCCAACCCTCGTTTCCTAGCTCCTATGGGGCCTGCCTCAGATTCGCAGGAAAGCTGGGGGTGGAGCAAGCAACAGGGCCTGGGATGCCTCTGTGTCCTTTCCTCGTGGCCCCAAGTCTGTCCACTGATACAGCAGTCTCCTTCTGCACCTCAGGAGGCATACTCAGTGGCTCGGCAGTTCAACCTGATCCCGCCCATCTGCGAGCAGGCTGAGTACCACATGTTCCAGAGAGAGAAGGTGGAGGTCCAGCTGCCAGAGCTGTTCCACAAGATAGGTGGGTACCAGGCTACCCTGCCTCCACCCCTCCTCACCACCCTCAGGGCCCCAGCTTAACCTCCCCTGGTCTCTCTCTCTCTCTCTCTCTCAGGTGTGGGTGCCATGACCTGGTCCCCTTTGGCCTGTGGCATCGTCTCAGGAAAGTATGACAGTGGCATCCCACCCTACTCCAGAGCCTCCCTCAAGGTGAGCACAGCTGGGACGGGTAGGACACCTTTGACGTAAGAGCGTAGATATCAGCCGGGCGGTGGTGGCGCATGCCTTTAATCCCAGCACTCGGGAGGCAGAGCTAGGTGGGTCTCTGTGAGTTTGAGGCCAGCCTGGTCTACAGTGAGATCCAGGACAGGCACCAAAAACTACACAGAGAAACCCTGTCTCGCAAAACCAAAAACAAAAATGTAGATAAAGGCCTGATTCTGGCCTGGTTCCGAATCCGTAAGGGCCTCCCACCCATGGGACAGACCCCAGACAAGCAGGCCGATGAACACCCCCCGCACCTGAGCCCCTTGGGTGGTTCAGCACTCACAGTATGGCTGGTCCAGTGTTGCCTTCTGCTATGTTCCTTCCTGGGATTTCCCCCACTTTACCCCAAAGTTTAGGGCGCAGAGTTGGCTCCAAGTCAAACCCTGTCCCCTAGTTATACACCCAAAGGCATGATGGTGACCATATTTGGGTGACAAGAGTCCTAGAGCCCCAACTCTGGGTCTCGCTCTCCTCCAGCCTGAATCCTAGGAGGCTCCTCAGGGCCAAAGGTATCCGGTGCCTCTGGCCCGGGGTCGGGTCAGTGCACCACAAACCTTGTCCTTCAGGACATGGGAGGGTCTGTCTAAGTCTGGCCCAGAGCACGCATGCGGCCAGACGACAACAGAGCTGAAGTCTGGGGAGAAACAGCTGCCTGCGTCTGGAGGTCCAGGGACCTTCCCTTACCTGGAGCTCGTCCCTCCCCAGGGCTACCAGTGGTTGAAGGACAAGATCCTGAGTGAGGAGGGCCGGCGCCAGCAGGCCAAGCTGAAGGAACTGCAGGCGATTGCTGAGCGTCTAGGCTGCACCCTTCCCCAGCTGGCCATCGGTAATGGGCTCCGGGCACAGTGGGGGGAAACCTGTTCCTAAGTTCCCTGAGGGTCTGGGCTTCACCAGCTGGCTATGGATAATGTGTCACAATAAAGAGAGTGGCCCTGGGAAGAAAAGTGAGGGACCCTGGGCAGCACCCCCTTGATGGCCAAGGTAAGGACTCTGGGGCAGAGTTAGAATCTGGGTCTCTTTTTAAGAAATAGGCCACCAGCCTAGACCCTCAGCCAGCTAGCCAGGCATCATGGGGAAAGGACCTTCGAGCACTTGGGCCATCTCTCCAGCAGAAGCAATGTGGCCGGAGCTCCCCAGAACCTCTTCTAGATACCCCTTGGGAAAACTCTCACCCAGTACTGCTGAGCATTCTAAGCATCCCTGGACCCCAGATGAGAGCTTGAGTGCCTATGCCCAGGGGTAGCCAGGCAGGCCCTGCAGAGAGTATCTCCCTCACCTCTGGTCTTGCTGCCCACAGCCTGGTGCCTGAGGAACGAGGGTGTCAGCTCTGTGCTTCTGGGTGCTTCCAATGCAGAGCAACTTATGGAAAACATTGGCGCAATACAGGTGAGACGGGGGACTGGTGGTGGGCTCAGGTACGGCCAGCCTTCCTGGATAGACAGCTTCACTGAGCACCCTTCCAGGAGCACGGGGCATGCAATGGCAGAGAGCCCTGCTCCTTCAGAGTGTGCCTCAAGGGAACAGAGAGAAACAACGTAAGACTTGAGTGTCATAAGGCAGCCAACCACTGTGAGAAGAGAGGCCAGAGTTAGGCATGGATGCTGAAATGCAGGGGCAGAGGCATTCAAGACCCGGGAGGCCTTGTAAAGAAGGGGGTTTTGAAACAAACTCAAGGAGACCCTGGAGTTGCATGCCTGCAGGGACATGGGTGAGATGAAGCCCTGGAGGTTTGACATGGAGCAGGGCAGGCCCCAGCTGAGCTTTTAGAAGGCTTAGTGTGAGTGGCGGCCAAGGTCAGGACAAAAGATTTGATAGGACTTAATGATGGGAGCTAAGGCTGGATTCCAGGTGGGCGAAAGGATGAGGCTAGTGGCGCTGGTCGGCAAATAGCATAGAGTAAGAGCCGCGAGACACCAGGAAGTCACCCACCTTTCCTTCCGGCCAGGCTAGACTCTTATCCTTGCATGCAGGTCCTTCCAAAATTGTCGTCTTCCATCGTCCATGAGATCGATAGCATTCTGGGCAATAAACCCTACAGCAAAAAGGACTATAGATCCTAAGTTACCCCCACCACCTGCTTGGACAGTTTCCGGTCCCCTCCTCGTCTCTGTTCGCTCGCTTCTGCTGTTTCAAAGCCAAATGCAGAGTGTGGTTCGTATCCCAGGGGAAAACACTATGCCCAGATGTTACCAGGAAACGATCTCCAAAGTCACCGCCAGATGCCACCTACCGCTTCTTCACTGGATACTACCTGATGGGTGCCAGATGGCATTGATTAGGGGAGACATTCAAAGGCTCCCACCCAAGCTTCCGCCTCTGTTTATTCTTCAAGAAGGAACATTTGCCCCCAGTCATGGCCCTCCGTGGAGATTCCAGAAGTCATGGCCAAGTGGAGATCTAATCCTCGGAGCAGGCAGGGCTGGCCTCTCTGCCAAGAACCCCTGCCTCTGAAGAGGGGTCTGCCGCTTCCTAGCACCCTTTCTTCTTCCAGATCCTGGTGGTTAAGGCAGGGCCTCCCTCTTTCCATGGACACCAGGCACTTTGTCCAAGGCTGGCCTGGGGTCTCAATCTTCCCAGACCTTGACATGTCCCACATGCCCAGTGGGCCATGGCTGGGATTATACCGACCTAGCTGGCCCTTGGCCCCCACCCTTACCCTTGCTGGCAGGGGCAAGGATCCCAGCTGGCTTTCCCAGCGTCTTCCACCCTCCATACATCTGCTGAGTCCCACAGCAGGGAAGCCCAGCAGGCTTGGATGGAGCCCATTGGAGTACGCCCCTCTGTCAAGAGCTGTAGACAAACATGGTAGCCGGCCACACCACAGGCAGGTGGCTGCAGACTGGGCCCATGCTCACAAGACCGCATTCCTCTCAGACCTTCCTCTAATACCTCTGCTGTCCTGGAGCAGAGGGCTTGTGACTTGGGCTCTGCACAGAAAAGGCACATAAGCTTTTCAGTGAGGGGGCTCCCCGGGGCTCCTGCTGCTGCAGGCTAAGGGACTGGGGGAACAGAACTCCAGTAACAGCCCCCAAGAAAAGATCCCCAGGGACCTCTCCCTGAAAAGATGGCCAAGACTACTCATTCTCTGCTGCCTACCATCGTGCTGGCCCAGGAAGGATGGGGAGAGGGGGAAGGGACAGGACAGGCAGCCCCTTGGCAGTGGGAGCTAGGCGGATAGTGGTGCCAGGAAGCCTGCAGGTTTGAGCAATGCATGCTGCCTGGAGGCCCAATCCCATGGTCCTGTGATGCTTTAGGGACAGGGTCCTACCCATGTGTGCCAGCTAGCTCCCTAGAAGACCCAAGCCTCCTGCCCTGGACAGGCAGGGGCCAGTTCCCAGGCATGTACCCTGGAGGCACAGCCCCCGGCTTCTCTTCTGTAGCTGCTGTTCCAAGGCTCCTCCCTGCCGCTCTTCATCATCTGTTGTCCAGCCAGAGCTGGGCAGAGGCTTGGACATGGTGGGGATGGAGGGAAGAGACAGGAAGAAAGGCAGGCAGGGTGGGAAGCTTCCTCTCTCACACACAATACCCCCTGCAGACCCTGGGCTCTCGGGCCCTCACCACTGCTCATAGCCCCAAGCCCTGAGACCTCAGAAGCAGCCCTGTGGGTGTGGGGATAGAAGCCATTAGGCTCTGGACCCTCCCTACCTGGCTGGAGGAGCCTGCTTCCAGGACAGGGCCCTGCAGTGGCCCAGCAGGAAGTAGCCAGCCCTGTATATACAGCTGGCCTTGGCCCTGCTTGCTACATGGACCAGGCATGCAAGGATGCCCACAGCTACACTCAGAGCTAAGCTCCTTCAAGAGACAGGAAGACAGGCTGCATGGTGAACTGGGTTACATGAGCCCTAGATGCAGGCAGCCTCCGGGATGACAGTTTAACGTGTTTATGAGATGTCTTCTTCCTTTGCGGAGTTGGGGCTTTGCTTAAGGACAGGATCACTCGCCTCCATGGAGGGGTTTGGGTAAGACGGTCTTAGGAGACCACCAAAGACCCGTGCAGGCAGCTTATAAAGGGGGAGCTTGCCCCTGGCCCTTGAAGGGTCTAAGGCCAGCTCCTTCCTCCATGGCCACAGATCTCCCCTTCCTCTGGCCCCAGCTGCCTACTGGTCAGTCCCAGCCAGCCTCCAGCACCTTCTCACCTTGAGCACAGCCAGCCGGGCCTGGTGCAGGAGGGGCGCTTTGAGGGATCTGACGCATGGAGCCCTGCTATTGCTCATCCCAGACCCAAGGTCCTGAGGCACGGCAGGGCAGCTGTGTGCCCTGCTCTCATCCATCATGTACATAATGTGCTTTCTCTCCCGTTTTTTAATGAGCGCGGCTCCTTGCTAATTGCACCCCACCAGGCCGACCGCCAGCGCCTCCAGCTTCCTGACAGACTCTCCAAGGTGCAGCCCGTATTTATGGAATGACAAATAAAACCCGAGCCCTTCTGTCTCCATGCTTCAGTCCCCTCATTTCCTCAGAGACGGCGTCGGGGGAGAGCAAAGCCGTCAACTGCAGGGATGGGGTCTTGGGTCCCCACCCCCAAACTGGACCCTACAACTCAGGACAAAATGAAAGTAAGGACCCGAGTACAGGCGGAGGGAGGGGACGGGCTGGTCAAGAGATCCACCCTCGTCTCTCCCTCATCTCTGAGGCCTGTGGGAGATACGGTACCTCCCGCCACCATACACGCATCTCCGCTGACACCTCTAAAGACTCGGGGCTGATGGCTGGGGAGCCCCATGCCTTTAGGGACCAGCTGGCTGCTGTTCTCAGGTTGATGGGTTTGGGGGAGGAAGCACATGGGTCACTGCAGTGTGTCTGAAGGTGGCGGTAGGAGGTGCATCCTCCAGCACACTGCTATTTGGGGTCTTCCCGCCTTCCTTGTGAGCCCTGAGCCATGGGTGCAAATCCTCCTCTCCCCAGCTACTCGCCACATCCCTGTTCTAAACCAGCGAGGCTAAGAACTACAATGATTCCATCCCTTCCCAAAGGGTTTATTAAAACACAGAAACCAAAACATACACACAGAGTACGAGTGAAGATAACATTTGGCTAGCCCGGCCAGCCTCCCCCAGGACCGCCTTCAGAGGAGCTGGGGTGTGTGCCCCTCGGACCCCTGCTGAGACGCTCCAGCTAGCCCCAAGTGCCTACTCCTGCTTCACCAGGGTGTGCTGAATGGGGCAGCGGCGGGACAGATGCCAGCCTGGCCTGGGCAGGAAGAGGGCTCTCTAGAGTCTAGTTTGACCCTGGCAGGCAGCAGGGGCCCTCCCTCCTCTCCAGGCCGAGTGGAGGAGCTGCCTCTGAGCTGGGCTCTGGTTCCTATGTGGCTATGTGGAGAGTTCAGGACATATACACACACACCCAACAGGCCCTTTCCGGGTTATCGCACCTAAAAAAATACTTTGTTTAAAAAAAAATCTGAAAATTAAGAGGGAAAATATCCATAAACAGAAGGACGCCGACGACTTTGGGCTGACGCACCACAACCTGTAAACTTCCTGGTATATAAATCGGGCAGGTTGGCTTCCTCCTCCATGCTGTGCTCTGCGCAGGAGCGCCTTGGGGGTGGCTGTCCACCCTTGTAGGCAGGTCAAGACAGTGAAAGGTAGAGGGAGGGTCAGTCTAGGCTCCCGACCACCTTCCTTGGCACACACTAGAAGCTCCAAGCATCAACAACTGCCCACTCTATGAGACTACAAAGATGTCTGGCCCTCTGGCCCACCCTCAGCATGCCCTCTGCAGGATCTCAAGACTTAGGAGACTGGTTGCCGGTGTCACGGAGCCCATCAACCTGTATGGATTTGGGAGCACCCAGAGGGTGGGGGAGGGGAGGCTCACAGGTGGCCCTGGGGTGCAGGAAGCAGGGGAGGCACTTCACAGCAGGAGTATGTGAGGGGGTGCCCTCAGATGTCGCAGCTCTGACCCCAGTTCTCTACGTCACCTGAGAGCCGCCCCGCACCTTCCACAGACATCCAGCAGAGTGAAGGGAATCCAAGTGTCTGGAAACGTTACGTCACTGCGGCTCTGACAGCTTGGGCATGAGGACCCCAATCCTATCAGCAGCCTCAAGATGCCACCTCTGCCCTGCCACTCTCTGGCAGGAGACAGCTGATGGACCAAGATAAGAGCACCCCTGAAGGACCTTTTCCCTCTCCCCAGCTGCCTGGGCAGACTACCCTCCAAAGCCACCCCAGTGCTGGTCACGGGGAACATAGACCTTCCCAGGCCAGTAGGGGGCTCAGGTCACGGTGGCTGTGGAGAGGAAAAGGCCAGGGTGGGTGGGTATGACCTAGGAAGAAGCAGAGCTGAGGGACAGAGCAAGACTCCTGGGAGACGTCACCAGGGAAGGGGTGAACCCTTGAAATAGAGCCGGAGTCACAGACCCTGATCTGTCCCACTTGGTACCTCCAGACCCCAGTGTCAGGGTCTGTCACTTGGGGCACAGTTCCAAACGAGGCCAGCAGGGCTGACTGTCTTGCCCAGTGGGATTAGCACAGGGGCTCTGGGTTGGGGAACAAGCTTATGGCAGCCACTCCCATGCAGGGGACAGCCCTTCTTGGAGAGTGGGGGTCAGCCACCACGATACACTACACCCTGAGCTCTGCACCCTGAGCTCTGCACCCTGGAGCTCTGCGGTGTGCTCAGTCTATGACCAGAGGCCCTCTGCCTACCCACAGTGTCTGGCCAGTCCACTGGCCTTGAGATTTGAATAGACTGAAATGTGAAAGTGTCACAATGGAAGAAGCCGTGGGGGTCCAGCCCTCCAGGGGCTCAGAGGAGGAACTATGTTACAGATGTGCACATCTGGGCTAAGTAAAGGCTGGGCAACTGCCAAAGTGTCCTTAAGACAAGCCATGGAGACCTGCCCCCACCTTGGCGGGCCCAGGGACACTGCGTATCCCTCGCTCCTTTCCCAGGGAGGAGAGTCTGAGCCCCTCCAAGCTCCCTGACCTCAGACTCAATGGGCTTCTCCCCAGAAGCCCCTTCCTCATCTTCAGGGTGTACTGAACCCCAGGGCACCTGCCTGGGAAGCGCCAAGGCAAGGGTTTGGAAGTCTCCAGGGTGAGCCAGGGCCAGCGAGACGGTCAGACACAGGCCGAGAGCCTGGCAGGTCCACCCCACCCCTACCCCAGCATGGAGCTTTACATGGTGCCACAGACTAGGGTGGAGCAAGACAAGTTGGCATGCCAACGCTGACCCGGGAAGATGGCCCTGGCACTCCAAGGCACCCCTGCAGGAAATAAGGCCAGAAGCCTTGGAGGCTCCAGCTAGGAAGGATCTAAAGAAGCCATCAGGTCCAGTCCCACCTCCAAGCACAGCTCTCTCCACACCCTCTGAGAACCAGCAAGGGCCACTGTGGCCCTTGCTTCATGCAGCAGTTGCCCTGGTCAGGGCCTCTCTAGGACCAAGACAACAGAGGTAAGTCCAGCTCCTTGACATCTGTGGCCCAGGATGTTGGGCTCAGGGACGTCTGTGCCAGGGTGAGTGGGACAAGTCTCCCAGAGCCACCCAGCAAACAGGACCCTCTTTCCTGGGGCACCAGCTCCTACCTGCCTACACCATACTCCTGCAAACAGCAAATGTCCAGAAGCCCCCGTAGGGTGTCTGGCCCAGGTCTAGGTCTGTCCCACCTTGTGAGGCACACGTTCCACTGGCCACACATTGCTGGGGCCTCCACATGTCCACTGGAAACAAGAGATTCCAGAGCCTTTGAGATAGGTACCCCGGCCAGGAGATGAAATGTGCCTGGTGGTCCCCAACCCTGGCAGGAAGGAGATAGAAACCCCGACCTGGGCATCACCAGGCTAGGCAGCCACTCTCCAGACCTGATCCCCTCCAACACTAGGGTCCCAGGTAGGCAGGGGGCCAGCGCAGAAGGACAGTCACACGGGTGCGGACGCGGGCAGGGGACATAGTAAGGGCTTCCAGAACACGGGATGCTGCACCTCCCCAGCTGGAGCAAGTCCACAGAGCAGCACCAGAGGCCTCCAGAGAACTTCCCTTGAGGTCTGGAGCCGGGTGACAGACAGGAGGGTTGGGAGTCTGAATCTTCCACACGTCATCCAACTTTTTATCAAGACAAACACGTTCGCATCTTCGGTAGCAAAGTGCAAAAAAAGTACAGGTAAATGGAATTTCCTCTAAGTCAGTCACTCTGGAAAAGGTGCCAGGGCCTTGCCTGGCGCGGCTATGGGTGGGATGCAGTGCGGAAGAACACTTCAGCTATGATGAGGTGGCACTTCTGGGCTCTTGTGCAGCCAGGCTGGGCCTTGTCCTCTGTGCGACAGAATTGCTTGGTTTCCCTTTTGTGTCCCAACACGGCACCAACTCCTAAAAGGGCTGTAGCTTTTCTCTCCCGTGGGGGTTGGGCAGGTGGCCCGGCTGCAAAAGGTAAACCAGTGGGTTACACAGTTGGGTGTCCAGGTATCCGTAGGTGTGGTCACGGTTATGATCACAGGGAATCCTGGAATTAAGGTCCCCTAGTTACAGGCCTTTGGGCTAGATGTGAGCTGCACCCCAACTACTGGAGTCCCAGCCTCCAGCAGGCTCTGCATTGAAGTTCATCCAGGGCCTCTGGCCTTGTGTCTACCTTACAGGGACAGATAGCACTTGGAGGAGGCCATCAGGACTGGTGACCTCTCTGAACTCCCATCTCCACTCCCAAAGCCATCAAGACACTCAGCCCCTTGGGTACTCCCTCCCCCTGGTCCTGGACAGAGGATGGGGGTATAAGACAAGCAGCAACTGTCCATGGGCCAACCATCATGCAGGACAGGGTTCCAGGCTGAGAGCAGTGGTCTCTGGCACATGGCTAAGAACACATGCGCACATACAGATGTCCACATGAATATACACATAGACACAGCCATGACCAGTGTGACTCAAAGCTACTAGAAACAAAGACTCCAAGGCTCAGGGACATGAACCAAGTGCTCGGACGGGGCAAACTGGAGGGCGTGGGACAGCGGGGTGGCCTGCAAGCCCCTCACCTCAGCTGGAAAGGATCGCTGCAACGGGAGGAAGTCGTGAGGACGACTAGATGTCTGCCAAGGAGAGAGCAGAGCATGGGCTTGCCTGGCATCCCCAGCAGCGGGCAGGCTGGGCCCCAGAGGGGCACTGTGTGCATGCTGCCCGGAAGCGGGTGGGGACCTACCAGTCACATAGGGCCCCAGGGGCATCTGGTTGTAGTTGACAATCCCTCCCGGTCCAGGGCCCCGGAAGTTGGGCCCAAAGCTGTTGTTGTACATCTGAGAGGAGCCGAAAGCGCCCTGGAGGCAAGGACCAGCTTTACAGGTGACAACCAGAACATCGCCCATCCCCCACCCAGGGGCACCCACCCGTACAACAGGGGGACTCAGGCCCACGATGCAGTGTGCAGGCCAAACCTGACCTGCTGGATGGTGGGGTCACCAGCACGGTTGGTGAGGCGACTCAGGATGCTGCGTTCGGACA